GCATAGATGGGGCTCAGAAGCTTTGTTTGTTTATGAAGCCAGAGAGCGTAGGAATAACAGTGCGTGTCACAAAGTTTACAGCACAGGTCATCTATATCTGAAGTTGTATAAGTCAGAAAAGTGTGTGCACTCTTGTCTTCTTTAGGGAAGGCTGCTTAGCCGACTGCCAGTTTGTGATTCTTTGTTTTCTTGAAGAGATAATTGAAGAAAATTGAATCAATTTTCCAGTAGCATTGTGGTGGCAGGGCTTATCCTCAGGCTTAAAAGAAAAACAAGCACTGCAACAAGTGTAGTTTCTATCTTATGAATTTTTTCAGTGAGAGGTTTTTTTTTTCTTTCCCCAAATATTCCCAAAAGAGAGTGAAATCAAAGGCATATTTTTTTACTGAGGGGCAGGCTTGGGTTTGCTAACATCGTAGGCATTAGCAAAATCAGCTACAAACGAGGAGCTGTCATGTTAACATAGGGTTTTTATTTTCCCCTCTTTGATATTTTCTCTCAAACTTGGCTTGTCTGGAGAGGATTTTGATTTGGGGGTTTTGTCCTCGTTATACTGGAGTTTAGGAGGTGTCCTCACTGATTGCAAATCTGGAATCTGGAAAAATGACCTGGGTGAAAAATGACACAGGATTATTTAAGAGGTGAGCTCCCCTAAAGGCAGTGAGCTGTAATCTAGAATTTAAAACCCTTGCTCTTTCATAATTCTGATAGAATTTCAAATAGCTTTAAGTCATTTGGCTTTGATACATGCTATGTGTGACAAATCCTAAAAAATGTACTCATCTGAGCAGTTTGGAAGTTAAGAGCAGGCCCGGAGAAGATGAAGAGCTGGTCTGCCCTCCCCCTTCCCTCCTCTCTTCCAAATCTCACAGTTAAACCTGATGAGCGACAAGGCTGCTCTGCTCTTGCTGATTTCTGCTTCCACTCAGGACACTAGGATTTGGCCCCAGGATATTTTACTTTGAGGAGCTGTAAGCACTTTCAGAGCTATTTATTTCAAATAACAGATTGCTCTAAACCCCCTCCACCCTACTCCCAAATGCTTTGAGGCCAAAATTAGGTTTCAGAGATCTTGCAGCATAACTGTTTGGAGATGCTCTGTTTGATAAGATGCAATTGTAAATCATTCTCTTTATAGAAATTTGTGGCTCATCCCACTCAGGCTAGCAGAGAACTGAGGGTCTCTCTTACTAATTAACAGCACGTTCTTGTTTGTAATAAAGAGTGTTTACTATAGATTAGCATTCTGTTGATGTTAAAAGATGTAAATGAGCAGTTCTTGCCAGTTTGGAACAATATGTTCAAATAGTCAGAAATAAATGTTGATTTTAAAAAAGTTTAAAAGCCAGATTTTACTGTAGTTTAAGACAAAAAAATTGCATGTTTGTAAAGCTGATTGAAAGTTCATTTCACATAAGGGAACAAGTGCAACGTACCACATCTTTGATGGTTGTCTACATGTTGCACTATGGGCAAGTCGTATATCAGGAGGTTATGACAATAGAATTTTTTAGTGCTACTTGGCTACGTAGTCAACATCTTTCTCAAGTAGCCTTGGGAAAGAAACTGCAATAAAAGAATTTAAGAAACTGAGAAATGCCCTTCTGATTTATGGAGTAGCTAAGTGTCCACCACCCACGTGAAAGTCCAGGAGGGTAGAATGTCTCAACACTAATGAAATTCAGATCTTGTCATACTTGCCTGAACCTGTATCTCATCTCATCTGTATCCACAGCTATCAGATTCCTATGGGGAATATAAAATATCAAAGATATAAAATCATTAGGCATCTGGTACTGTACAGAACTGTTTCAGGAAGGTGAGTGGATGTTATTTGTAACTCCATTTCACCATCAGTTCAGGTATGTGTATTTTCAGGACTAAAACAGGAATGCTTTTAAAATCTTAAGTCTGCAAAGTATTGCTTGTGCTTCAGCAGCATTTTGGGAGAAGGAGACTGTTTTTATGGACAAATCCCTGCCCTTCAAAACAATGTCTGAGGCTTCTGTTTGAGGCTCTGCTGCTGACTCTTGAGTGACTATGGCCAAACCGTTCGGTGTCTGTGGGTGATATGGCAATGCTACCGCCACTTTCTAGTCTGTCTTGCTTTTAAGCTTCTTGAAGGGAAAGAATGCTTCTTTCTTTTGTGGATGAATTGGTGAACCAAGTTGGCAAGCAGTGGGTACAGGGTGACGTGGATGAGAGAAACCTCAGAAATGACAAAACGTGGCTGAAGGAAGCCCACCTCGAGCGTCTGCACAGAAATAAGCAAGTGCCAAGAAGAAAGCTTTATGGGAGAAGCTCTTGCTTTTTCCTGGGAATCAACATGACTGGGTGTCAATCTGAAATGCGTGTACACTAATGCACAGAATGTGGAGAAGAAACAAGAGGAGGAATTAGAGGTGGTCTTAAAGTTGCAAGGTGATGATCTTGCTGGGCTCACCGACATGGCTCACACAACCAGAGTGCTGCCGTGGAAGCTCAGGAGAAACTCTTCAGGGGCCTGTTTGGAAGACTCTCAAGTAGGACACTTGGGGAGAAGAGGGGTCCAGGAGATCTGGTTGATTTCCAAGGATCACCTCCTCCAAACTCAGGAACGGTCCATCCCAATGTACAGGAAATCAAGTGATGGTGGCAGGAGGTCTGCATGGATGAATGAGAAGCTCCAGACAAAACTCAAACATAAAAAGGAAGCATGCAGGAGGAATAGAGCGACACTGGCTGAACATGCAGGGATGGGATTAGGAAAGCCAAAGCCCCTTGGGAAATGAGAAATGTAAATGCAACAGGAAGAGCTTCTCTAGGTATATCTGCTGCAAAAGAAAGGCTAGAGCAAATATGGACCTGAAAGGGACAGGAGATGTGATGACCATGGGCATGGAAGAGGCCAAAGCGCTCAATACCTTCTTTACTTCAGTCTTTACTGGTCAGATTTGCCCTCAGCTGTTCCAGCCCCCTGAGACCAGTAGGAAAGCGTGGCACGGTGAGGACTTGGCTGTGATATGTGATATTGAGTTTTAAAGAAACTACTGAACATTCACAAACCCATGGGAGCTGTTGGGATACTCCTGGGAAGCGCTGAGGAAGCTGGCCGGTGTCATTGCAAAGCTGTTCTCGTTAAATTTTTAAAGGTCGTGGTGACCCGAGGGAGGCTTCGGAGGACTGGAAACAAATAAATTTAATTCCTATTTTCAAGAAGGGCAAGGAGGAGGATCTGGGGAAGTACAGGCTGGTGAGCCTCACTTCAGTCCTTTGGGAAGGGAACACAGCAAATCTTGAAAAACATTTCCAAACATAATGACAAGAAGGAAATTGGGTGGAGTCAGTGTGGATATATGAGGGGGGAGATAACCTTGACCAACGTGGTAGCCTTCTACAATGCAATTGTTAGACCAGGGGATGAAGGAGAGCAGTGGATATCATTCATCTTGACTTTGGAGAGTCTTTTTCCACTGTCTCCCAGACTATTTCGTAGACAAACTGATGAAATATGGGCTGGATAAAGGGACAGCGAGGTGGGTTTCAAACTGGCTGAGCTGCTGCTTTCAAAGGGTTGAGATCAGCAGCACAGAGACCACTTGGAGGCAAGTCAGTAGTGGCGTAGCCAGGGGTTGATACTGGGGGCAGTGCTGTTCAGTAGCATCCGTGATGAGTGAGATGATAAGAGTGCACCCTCAGCAGGTTTGCAGATGATACAAAACTAGGGGGAGTAGCTGATAAACCATGTAGTTGGGCTGCCATTCCGAGGGACCTCGACAGCCTGGAGAAGTGGACAGAGGGGAACCTTGTGAAGATCAAGAAGGGGAATTGCAAAGCCCTGCCCTTGGAGAGCAACAGCCTCATGCACAAGTACATGGCGGGGGCCAGCTGGCTGGAAAGCGGCTTTGCAGAAAAGGACCTGGGGGTCCTGGTGGATACCAAGCTGAGCACGAGCCAGCAGTGTGCTCTTGTAAAGCCCAGGGGCATCCTCGCCTGCATTAGTGTTCTTGAGGGAAGTGATTATTCACCTCTACTCAGCACTGGTGAGACTCACAGTAGCAGTAGAGGTGTATTGTAGCAGCAGCTTGTATTGCAATGTCCTACTGAGATTTCAGTTTTTGGGAAAGAGTTGGGCCTCTAGTACGCTGCTTAAATTTTGAGAAGACTGTTAATGTTATCTGTAATCATTGTATTAATTGCACACTTGTACACACACACAGCGCACACACTTCAGGTTGAGTCAGGTTCCATCCACTGAAGTCTCAGTGTCAACATATTCTCACGAGGAAACTTTCCATTGAAAAACCCCAAAGCAGTCTTCATTGTCCATGCTCTAATTTAATTCAAACATTAGAGAATAAATTATTCCTACATTGTTTTGTTGTTTTTGTGTGAGTCATAATTCTTCAGTGTATTTTGTCTGAGCATTATGAGCATGCAAACTAGGATCTCAGGACTGTGCACATTTAATCCCATTAGCATTTAATAAGATAGAAAGGTTCAGTTATTTACAAAAATAATTTGAGTGATTTTTTTTTTTTGGTCCGGAAATACTGATTTGTTGGAAGAAACTTTTCATGAAACCATATTAGAATATCTGCAAGCTGAATACATTTCTAAACCTTTTAATGAAATAGTAATAATGTTTTACTTTGATACATACGTAAGCATAGGCTACTGATGCAGTGCGTCTCCTTGCCTAGAGATGGACTTGGCTACTGTGACTCCTGTTTTTGTATCTTTCTGGTTTAGTAAGCTAATGTTTTTATAAGGACAAAACTTGCCTCTAGTTGCTGGTGACTTGGTAATAATGACGTTATCAGTGTTATGTTAAAAAGAGTAATGATTATTTACATTGAATCCTTAAAAAAATAAGTTAAAATGCCAGATGGGAGACCGGACTTGTATGAAGTTTTAATGGGCTGTGGGGTTTTTTTGGTGGTGGTGGGTTTTTTGTTTTGTTTTGTTTTTTTTTTTTAAATATTGTTAGGATAACCCTCTTTTCTGATTCTGTGTTTCAGTTAAAGGACCAAGTTTGGTGAATGTCTGAAATCTTCAGCTTTATCGGAAGGATGAGGTCCAGAAATTATACATGAGGTATTGCAGTTTTGTTGTTTTAATAGGAAGCTGATTGTACATACCTGACCCCTAGGGTAACTCAAGCTTCCTTTGACTTCCTGATGGTACTGATCGAGTAAGAATGTTGATAAGGACATATAAACTGGCAGCAAGTGATAAAAATATATAATACTCTTCTCAAATGAACACAAAAACATCTTTCCAAATAAAGACAACTGACCCGAAACTGTAAACCTACACCTTGTGAAATAATATAAATAATCTCTTTGATTTCAGTAGCAGGAGAATCTTTGGTTTCTGACTTTGAGTGTGTGTCTCTCATGCACTCATCCATACATACACTGTGTGTTTTCAAATGTTGGATTACTTCTAGCATTTATATCATTTAAATATATATTGGCTTTTTAATATAGTTTCAAGCTTGCTTGCTTGCTTTCTGCCTTCAGCTTGCTTGTAGTTTTCCCTGCTGCCTTTCACATTGTCTCTTCTATTATTGCATTACGGAAGAATGTGCCTCCTTTCTCTAAATCTGCATCTTTTGGATATAAAAACATTTGTGTGAAATGTATCCGTAGTGTTGTAAACCTAATATTTAAATGATTCTTTTCTCCTCCTTCAGAGCTGGTGTATCAAGACATCTACTAATATGCTTGTGCACAAAATTGCAGATGAAAGCCAGAGTGGGAGTGAGATGAAAAATGAAATGAAAGTGGGGACAAGGAGGAGGGAGGGAGGGAAAGGAGGAAGGAATGTGAGGAATATGAGGAGGAGAGAAGGCAGGGGAGGCTTCAAAGAGCATGGAGGGAGATGTCTTAGCCTTGCTCCTTGTTTTTCACTGCCTCTTCTATAAACTCACGTGTCAGAACAAAGGGCCAGATTTTAGGAGTATATTAAATATGTACATAAAGCCACCCGTGCCATTTTCAGAACCCAGGTACATACTAGTACACATCTGTCTTTATCCTTGGGTGCTTAGAATACTTTTGGAAATCTTAAGGTTTCAAGTCTGCAAAGTGCTGATCAGCTCTCAGCTGAGAGCCAGCTAGGCTTCATGCTTCCCAGTAGGTTCTGCGTCCTTGGAGGGTATGGGCTTAAAGAACAAACACTGGGTTGTTACAGAGCGCCGCTTTAGGTATGTGTGTAGTGTCACTGGGTTTGTAGGTGTGAAACACCATAGATTTATCTGAGAAGTCCTGAAGTCAAACAACCTCTTTGTGCCTTTGTCTTCTGTACTGTTAATGTCAAAACAAAATAGAAAAAATTATCTATGTTAGATTTTACCTGTAGTCGTCCTTAGAAACTTAATTTGCGTAAAGCCCTTGCGATTACATCCGGTGATTTAACTGGCAACTTAGATGAGATTTAAGCAAGTCAGTATTTCAGTTAAGTGTATAAAATTCTAGCTCTAGTCCCTTGGATGCTTTATACTATTTTTATCCTAGTGAGCAAGAAAGCTCTGCTTTTAGCAGTTGTTCAGCCTGTTCTGTCTTCATTATACCTGAGGTTTTCTCCTCCCTTATGCAAGATGAGAAAAAGACTGCAAGTTTTGGAAGCACTTGTAATAACTCATTCCAGCGTTGGTCAGATCTGCAAGACAATGGAACGTTCAATCCTGTTCCTATGAAAGGAACGATATTTAGTGGGATCCTGTTTCTCCTTAAAGCTGCAATGGGCTGGGGTAACTTTAGGGGACAGTCTGTGTATGACAAAACCAAGTAATTTAAGAGCAGAACCTGATACCATCTTACCTCTGCATGGGGAGATGCTGAGCAAAACAGCTTCCGTTGATTCAGGTGGAAGTTGCAGGCTGTGCGACTGCTCAGGACATCTGCTTTTGTGTTCCAGAAGAACTCGTGTGGGCAGGTGTGCGTGTGCTTAGCGTGGACCATAAATGTAACATAACTGTTTCCCTGGGCATTTAGTTTATAGAGAACTCACAGGGAGCTAAATTGGGTTTTTAAGGTTTTAGTTTTAATTTAAGTAATCCCCGAAGTGTAGAGCAATTGAAGCAACAGGCCTGTTGTGTTGTAGATTTGGATTCTCTCTGAATTTGATATTCATCCCACTGATTCTGTTGACTTCTCATGATAGTATAACATGTTAAGGTAGTATAACTGTGATTTGTTAAACACCAGCAGCTTTTTAGGTGTGATGACAGCCTCCTTGTAACTGCGTGTTTTGGCAAATACTGTCTTTTGTCTGTACAAAGTCCAAATCCTTACGGAAGCTGCTGGTGCCCATTACCAGGAACAAACTACATGTAAGTCATGTTATAAACTGAATGCTTGACTAATTCCCTCTTTAAACCAGCACGTTGTTAAAATGTACCTGTGATACGTATTTTAGCCCTCTTGTCTATATAGTGGTGTGAGGCAAATTTATCATCCTGATCAATGAAATCCTTGTCTGACATTTTTAGGGTAGCTTTGAAACTGGATATTCAATGCTCTCGGTAGGTGTGCTGACGGAGGCTTAGGCATGCGGTAATGAAACGTGTTCGGAAAAGACACTGAGTCTTATTCCTTTCACCTGCTCTTATTTGGGGAAGGGTTTGGATTTTTTTTCTCTTTATAACTTGGAAAACAGCGCTGTATCAAAGTGCTGTTCTCTAAACAGTAGAGCAGATCTGCTCCTTCATGAAGTTAACTTCAAAATAGGCTTTGCTGCATTCTAAAAACTATGTTGAGATTGTTTTTCTCGAAACAACACACGCTATTCCTCTTTTCGGAGGGCGGATTTTCCTGATAAGCCAGCCTTTGTTTTTCCTACTAAAGGAACAGTCTTATATCATCAGCTGTAAAACGTGGCTTCTTTTTTCCCTTTGAAATTGTCTTTCATGGTTAACTTTTTGCTAATTTAGTTCATATTCATTTCTTTTGCACAACATTCTATGCTGCTCTTCCCACACACCTTTCGAAATCAGGGGCAATTACATCCTGCGGTTACAGAGGCAGCCTGTGAAATTTTCCATCAGTCTATATTTTAAATGTTATTCTGTGAAAACACAACTCCTGGAGTGTAAACAATTCCCTAGCCTACAGTGATGCTTAAACTTGCTCAGCGATTTTTTCCATTTGCCTGTTTCTAGGATCAGTTTGTCCTAATTCTCTGCATTAAATGTTTTTTTTGGAGTCAGAACAAGTACTTACCAGACCAGGCACAAGTAGATGTTTAATTGTTGTCCTGAGTTATAGGATAAACAAAAACTGAAAGCTGTTTAGAGCTGAATTCAAAGGAACAAAACCAAAACCTGAGAACCTTCATAAAATAAGATCTTAAGACAATCAGTGGCCTTTTAGTTAAATTCTCATTTTCTTTGCGGGTGGAGGAGGGTCCTGAGTCTGGGCTATTTGGCTACGAAAGGGAGATGAACAAATGAGATCTGCTTTTGTATCCTTCTCCCTTTTTTAATCTTTCCTCTCCTTTTTTTTTCCTTCCCTACTGCTAGCAAGGAAAGTAATTACGGATGGGACGCTTTGCAGCCTTTCTGTTGGATTTAAAATCTGCCAAGATTGAAACTCCCACAGGGATAACGTTTTTTTAAAATGTGCCAAAGAGCAAAAGACTGTTTGAACATTCCAGTATTCATTCAAATAATTTGAGAAGAAAACTCTTCTCCTTCCAGCCAGTGTGCCTGTTCTTGATGAATAGTTACAGTCTAGGACTACAATATATTCGATACTTGGGGAATTTTACCTTTAAAATTATGCAAGAAAAATAGTAAGTTAAAGGGTGGGAGGGAGCAGGGGGCTGAGAGGGGGAGTGATGGATGTCATTTTAGATGCAGCTACTTTGTGTCTATGCATTTCTGGAATAAGATCACATTTATTTCCCCACAGCAGGGACTGGGGACAGTCTCTGCAACTTGAGAGTTCTAGGTAAGCAGCAAGTGCCCTTCCTTCTTCCCCACTGCGCTCCTCTCCCAGTCCTAGAGCCCAGGTAGCTTGTCTGTGGGGCGAGTAGAGCTGGTGTGCAGTAAGCTGGTCCCAGCACTGAGGCTAAAAGGCTTAGGGATGAGGGGCAAAGGGAATAAAGACTTTCTTTAAGCATTCAGCACTTACTGGTCAGCATTGACTTTCCCTTTAGCTCCAAATCACATTCCAAATGGGAAAAGTTTGCATTTGAGATCGGTTAATGTGTGAGAGATCGGCAGGTTACACGGCAGGTGCCTGAGTGCTGCTTCAGCCCTGCGTGGAAGGGGATGAGGGGCATGGCACCCCCCCTTTGTGAGCTGGGGGGGCTCAGCCTTCATCCATGGCTAGCAAGATACACTGGCTGGGTGGATGTAGGGAGGGGGAGGAAGGGGTCTGCTACTTCTGGGGGCGAACAAAGGGGACGAGTGACATGGGTGACTGAGGGGGAGGCTTATATGCGTGTGGAGAAGTGGGTGAATGGGGAGGGGGTCCCTGGGGCCCCGGTGGGGATGGGGAGGAAGGTGCAGGTTGTGTGAGAGGAGGAGGAGGAGGAGGGGGTGTTGATAGGGGTGTTCGGCGCACCTTTGTGCTGTGAGGGAGGCTGTTACATACGTCTTTGTGAAGGGGTGGGTGGGTTGTGTGCGTGGAAAGCTGTCGGCACCCCGGGTTGGGGGGGGGGGGGGGGGACAGTCACGCCTCTGATTAGAGCTGGGTGACCCCAGTGGGGGGCCACGAGTGGCCCTGGGCCGGGTCGGGGGGGGGGCAGCGGGGTGAGCGGGGCAGCCCTGGGTGCTCCCCCCGAGCTGCACCCAACGAGGCACCCGCCTGCCCGGCCGGACAAACGGCGCGTCTGCAGCAGGAGCTTTCCCGTGCTTGGGCTTTTTGCTGCTGCGCTCCGTGCCCCGCGCCAGGAAAACGAGCTTTGTCGGGAAATCAGCTCATTAGGTGGATTCCCTCTGGAAGGGGCACACATGCCCTTCGCCTAACGGGGAAGGGAAAGGAGGCTTTTGGCTGTGTCCATTTAAAAAAAAAAAATCGCGGCGGCTGCCCCCTCCCTCCTCCACTTTGTAACGAGCCTCTGGTTCCGCACAAAGGATTCATCAT